ACGGCGTAGGCTGCAGTGGGCTGCCGTAAGCTACCGTGGGTGGGCAGCAGCCAGCGTGAGCAGCCGTCCAATGACTGGCGAGTGACTGCCTCACCCGGGAATAGCACAATGATCATACCAACATGGGCCAGTGAATCGACATCCTCCACAACTGGACTGAAGAACAAAAGGACAGCAATTTGTCTGTTCCCCTTCCCTGATTCCCCAGCGCTGTTCCCTCCCACAACTCCCCAATAAATCTTTAAAAAAAAAAATTAAAAAAAATTGATCTGGAAGAACTAAATTAGTTTAAGAATGGTATAGACAAATTTGTGGCACATTTATAATTGGTTGGTTATTCAGAGAAGCTAAAAACGTACCAGGCCTGGTAAAATATTTGAAACTGTGGAAGGACAAGAGCTCACTGTCTGCTCCAACTTCGTGTGTATGATCAAGGTGAGATGCTGCATGCAGTCTGGTGGGGGCAGTTCCTACAACTAAGATCGGACTTCCAAAGCCTGACCCCAAGTAAGAACTTTGTGATGAAGCAGACAGAGTCCACAAATGAATGCTTTTCACTCATGGCTAATAAAACATGGGTGCTCTGAGAGAAGGTTATTGCCGTCCAGTTCTAATCTATATACTTTTAATGTTCTTATTTTCTAATTTAAACATAAAAATCGAAAAAATTTTCATGATCAAGAGCAAGCTATAGAAAGTTCCCTTTAATGCCTTTAATGAGGCTGATAAAATACTTGAGTTGCAAGCCTCGTGTTTATTTAAAACTTTGGTTTAAAATACTAATGCTATTGTTTCAGAGTATATTTCTATATTTTGAGGATAAGAAATATGCCACATTTGAATGTTGCTTTAGTCATCAAAATGGTCACATACACATATATATACATACGTGTTTGTGTGTCTGTATGTATATAAATATAAATACATATATTTTTTTCATCTTTACCACAACTCTGAAGAGGTGGAGTAGGGAAAGGTCCAGGATGTTACCTAATTTCACCAGAAAAGGCATAAAGCCAACATTTGGTTTCTTGTTGACGCCTTTTTCTAATTCTTTTAGTTCTTTCACTGTTATAGTTTTCTTTATATTTCACAAAATTTTAAAGCTATACTATGTCAGAAACCCTGGAAATACCTCTAACAGTCTACAAATTAGAGAACATTAAATGCTAAGGATATGGAAGTTACATTTAAAAAATTTTTTTGAAATTAGTTTCAGGTGTACAAAACATAATAATTAGACATTTACACCCCTCAGTGATAAACCGCCTCCCCCCAATCTACTATCCTTCTGACATCATATATAGCTGTTACAATACCACTGATTATATTTTCTATGCTGTACTTTACAACCCGTGACTATATATATATTTATATTTATATTTAATTATAGTTGACATTCAGTATTATTCTACTTCAGCTTCAGGTGTATAGCACAGTGGTCAGGCATCTATAGTCTATGAAGTGATCCCCCTAAGTTCAGTGCCCATCTGGCACCCTGCATGATCTTTACATTATTGATTGTATTCCCCACACTGTATTTCACATCCCTGTGACTATTTTGTGGCTACCTATTTGTACTTTCTAATCCCTTCACCTTCTCCCCCATCCCCATCCCCTCCCATCGAGCAACCATCAGTTTGTTTTCTGAATCTGAGTCTACTGCTGTTTTGTTTGCTCGTTTATTCTGTTCTTTAGGTTCTACATATAAGTGAGATCATATGATATTTGTCTTTCTCAATCTGACTTATTTCACTTAGCATAATATTCTCTAGGTCCATCCATGTTGCTGCAAATGGTAAGATTTCACTCTTTTTTAAGGCTAAGTAATACTCCATTGTATAAATGTACTTCAGTTTCTTTATCCACTCGTCTATTGATGGGCATTTTGGTTGTTTCTATATCTTGGCTATTGTGAATAGCACTGTAATAAACATAGGAGTGCATATATTTTTTTTGAATTAGTGTTTTGGATTTCTTTGGATAAATATATAGGAAGTAAATTCGCAGACATTATCCTTAGTAGCATTTTTACTGATATATCCCCTCAGGCAAGGGAAGCAAAAGGAAAAATAAACACGCGAGACTACATCAAACTGAAAAAAAATTTCACAGCAAAGGAAACCATCAACAACAAAAAAAGACATCCTACTGAATGGGAGAAGATATTTGACAATGATACATCTGATAAGAGTTTAATATCCAAAATTTATAAAAATCTCAACACCCAAAAAACCGAACCACCTAATTAAAAAATGGGTGGAGGACACGGAGAGGCACTTCTCTAAAGAGGACATACAGATGGCCAACAGACATATGAAAAGATGCTCAACATCACTAATCATTAGGGAAATGCAAGTAAAAACCACAATGAGATGTCACCTCACTCCTGTCAGAATGGCCATCATCAATAAATCAACAAACAAATGCTGGTGAGGATGTGGGGAAAAGGGAACCCTGGTGCACTGTTGGGATTGCAGATTGGTGCAGCCACTACAGAAAACCGGATGGAGGTTCCTCAAAAAATTAAAAATAGAGCTACCTTATGACCCAGCAATTCCACTTCTGGGAAGTACATTTTAATTGCTTACTTGACACAGCAGTTACCTTCATCCTGAAGCCTAAGGAAAAGACCAATCAATCCTGTTGCTGGCTGTAACAATGCTGTTACCCTGAAATGCTTTTTCTATAGGAAAATATACATAAAATTTACTATTTTCACCACTTCTAAGTGTCCAGTTCTGTGGCATTAAGTGTACTCACATTGTTACGAATCCATCTCCAGAACTTTTCATCATCCTCCATCAACTCTGTACCCGTTAAACATGAGCTTCCCAGTTCCCCTTTCCTCCGGCCCCAAGAAAACATTCCATTTTCTGTCTCCATGAATTTTCCTCTCGGTACCTCATGGAACCGGAGTCACACAGTGTTTGTCCTTTCGTGTCCAGCTCACTTCACTGTGCATACATTGTCAAGGTTCATCCATGCTGTAGCACATGTCAGTATTTTCTTCCTTTTTAAAGCTGAATAATATTTAATTGTAGGTATATACATTTTGTTTATCCATTCATCTGACAGACATCTGGGTTGCTTCTATTTTTTGGCTATTGTGAATAATGCGGCTGTGAACACGGGTATATTAAGTATCTGTTTGAGTCCCTTCATTTGTATATATCCAGAAGTGCAACTGCTGGATCATACGGTGTTTCTATGCTTAATTCCATCCCTCCCGTTCTAACATACCCAACCCAAAGGCCACAAGGAATACACCAACCAACACACTGGGTTGTCAGAAGTCATGACACATTTTTACAATGAAAAGCATAGAAAAAATACGTCGTGACTTTTCCGACAATCCAATACTTTGTGTGTTTTAATCAAAGCAGTGGAAAAGCCGCATCAGATTTCTCTTGCATCATTTCTCACTTAACCTGTTGGAGCACCTTACATCTATGAACTGCCTGAAGATGCCAAGGACCTCCAGGCTACACAACCCTCCCCCAGCTACTGCCGCAGGCCCAGCCTCAGGCTTTCCTGCTGACAGGAAGTGGGGCCCAGTACGGCTCCATCTGTAGAAACACAGGGGTGATTCCAAAATACACCCAACACTCAGCTCTGCAACACCCAAGACTTGGGTGTGAATCCCGGGGTCAAGGTCGGGTAAGCATAAAAACCTGAATTTTTATAGAACTAGTAACGGGAAAACAGGAAGATCAGGCAAGGTGGTGAAATCCTCACCAACGCCAACGATTGCATAACACCTTGGTCCCTGAAGCACTTTTTTCCACCTGTTATACTACTAAAAATTAGGAGTGTTTCAAATTACTTGAGAATTTACCAATCCCAGAACTTTCCTTTCTTAGAAGTTCGTCCAGGGTTTCTGTTAGAAATTCCTTTTCTGTTTATGGGAGCAGAAAACTCCAAGGAATTTCAGGGCTGGTAGTATAACACACAACTGGGCAGAGCCATCGCTCCCCATAATTAATCAAAAACGTTGTCTAGCCTGCAGTTTGGAGCAACTGTGAATACATGAGGACATGTGACGGTGCTGGGCCATAATGTGGTCAAGGCTACATGGAAAACATGCTCAGGACCAAGCAGGTGTGGCTCAAGGGGATGACTTCTTTGGGTGGAGAAGGGGGAGAGGAGAGGTTAGAGAGAATGGTGTGAACCAGCAAAGGAACAAAGACCAGGAATGTCTGAGGACTGTACTGTGAAGGGTGAAACTGAACCTCCCTGGACAGGGAGGCAAGGCTTTTGCCTCTTCACCCACTTCCAGTTCCCTTTTTTCGTTACTCTGTTTCAGTGAAGGTCATGATAATACAAATGGCCCAAGTCTAAGACTGACTGGGCTGTGCTATTAGTGGGCTCAGACTCTGTTCGTTAACATCACAAATATGTTTTTCCTTCACACTGGTTCTTCTCGCCCTGTGGTAGGCAGGTCCAAGTAGGGCTTGACCTTAACAGGCTTTACTCTCTTTTTTGCTCAAGCATATGGCTTGGTTTACTGCTTTGGGTTCTTCACCAGTCAGCCATTCATCCAGAGGTGGTAAGGTTCCCAGATACAGACATGAGGCTGGGGAAAGGTAAGAGGGTCCCTGTTTAGGCACTGAGCCCAAACTACATGAAATTACCCGGGCCTTGCAGCAGCCTGTGATCTAACACGTAACAAGGTTGTGTACTTTGATTCTCGTCCGCTGCTGTTCCACGTGTATAGCTTCCTTAGGAGTCTTGAGGGAGGAGGAATGGAGGAAACCCAGGCTTCTCTAATAACCCCACCCTAACCATACTCTCTAGAGGAGGCTGCAGGCTGAAGATGCGTGCTTTATAAAATTTCCTAGTCTAGTATGTAAACCTGCTGTTGGCTTGGTATTTATAGCTTCATATAGCTAAATTAATTTGCTCTATCTGTCACTGCAGGGTGCTCTTTAATTAGTTGATAAAAATTATTTACATTTTATTTTCACGTAAAGGTGACACCAACAGCAATAACATGGGCATTCAACAGACACTTTTTAAATTAGACTAGATTTTAAATATTTATGTCCCTGAAAGAAACATGCCATGTGCCTATCCATTCCTCAAACACAAAGATGTAATTTTATTCATGCAATTATATCAATACTGTTCAACATGTAGGGCTTTTTTCTCCCCGTTTAAGTTGAATTTCATTCTGAACATCTAATATTGTAAATGCCAAGTTATTCTAATCAGGTTACCTCTTACATGTATAAAATACGGCAAATTTCTCTGAATACCACTCCAAAAACACTAATTCACACTTAGTATTTATCTAATATCAGACTCTTAAAGTTCCAAAGATCTTAATATATGTCCACTCAGTACAAATCTTCACCCTGCTGTGCAAACAATGACCTAACTCCTCTTTATCCTTATGTTAAAAAATAAGGCAAAGACAGACGGAATAACATTTCCTATGCTCTAGGGAAGGTACAAAACAGGAACAGCGTTAAGAGCGTTTCTGGGACGCCGCACCTGTTTCACGTGCCTCTTTCATCTTCTGTCTTCCTCCCTGGGCACGATGGGACTCCTCTGATATGGAAGGCAAGATGGCTGCCATCCTTCAGTTATCACAGTACTGTACCTTTAGAATGGACAGCATCAGCACTGTGATAACTGAGCCAGGGCAGCCTGTCAGTCACTGTGGTGGCTGGCGGCATCTTTTCCAGGTGACTGCGTGACTTCCTCCGAAGGCTCCCCATGAAGTGAAAGGCTGAAAGATTCCCTTCTGGTTCGAGATGTGGGGAAGCAGAAGAAAAAGTAGGGTCACAGTCCAGCAAGTGGTGATGCTGAAATATCAAGAGGCCCAGGTAAATCAGAAGAGAATGAAAGACAAACACGATTTATACATATTAAGGAGGATGATCAACCACACGATTATGCAGTCAGCTTTCCAGCTACGTTTCACAGTGTATTTCTTCCATGCACAGATTCGCTGACCCTATCCTCCTGACTTCAATCCTTCATGCAATAAATATTTACTGAGAAACTACTATGTCCAAGACCTCTTGTAGATGCTCAGGAAATTAAGATTAAATAAGACATGGCCCCTGTTCTCAAAATGCTCTTGATCAAACATGGCAATAATACTTTGCATCTGCCTAATAGTCAATAATTTTATATATGTTTTCTCATTTGGTTTTCCACAGGAACCCAATGAGGTTGTCAATGAATTATTCATTAATTAATCAAAAAAGGAGTCTGGAAATAGGTTAGATATTATTGGCGCATTTTACAGATCAAAAAAAAAAGCCTAAGAGAGGTTTAGGTGATTTACTTGAGATTATATCTTAAGTTATAGTGAACCTGGGATCAAATCCATGTCTAATGACTGAGCCCAGTGCTTTTTCCTTCTACCCCAACTTGGCCACTCAACTCCATCAACTGTATATTCAGTTTACAAACTTATACAAATGAAAAGATTTCTAAAAACATCTACTTTTGCTTAAGATTTTTCGTTTTCTCAGTATCTCAGATCATGATGCAGAAACTAGGCAGAGGGTTATACTTTAAGAAGAAATGCACATAGCCAAAAAAATGACTTTTATTGTTCCTGCCTGAGTGCTAAGAATGCACTCAAATTGATGACACTAATGATGATTACATATTTAGCACACCTGCAGGGTGGTTTTTTTTTTTTTTTACTGTAGTTAATGTCAATTCCACAGTTAGAGTAGTACAAGAATCACTGACAACTTTTGGAACGCCTTTAAAAAAATCAACATATACATATCACTTACTTTGAAATTATCTGTACCTTTGAGATGTACCCTGAAGTCATTACAGGAATGGCTCTTAATAAAAAGTACAAAAAGGTTCTGAAATTGCAATTCAGGCTTTAGAATACTAACATTAAAACCATGATTCACAGTTTTTTTCCATGTCACTAGTAAGTTCTCAAATTATTTCAATATAAGTGAAATTTGACAGATATTTGAAAAATAATTATGCTTTTAATTAGGCATTTGCTCAGTTTCAAAGACTAATTATATGCATAAGGTATTAGCACTGCACTTCAAATACATCAGAAGATGATGAATCAATTCTTTAGATCAACAGAAGTCAGAAAATAAGAGTACAATGACTAGCTCAATGAATTTTATGCACTATGAAACTGGCCTTATCTTCAAAAAGGTAATATTCAATAAAATAATCCACCTACACACAACTTAATACAACATTTTCTAAAGTGCAAAAATATCTAAAAGTTAGAGAGGTCATTGCCTAGGTCTTGGCCAACTGATGTAATACAAAGTTGAAACACGAGAGGGCAATGAAGATGTTTTTTTTTTTTTTAAATTGGATCCCATAACCTAAGGTTCCTGGAAGTAGTTGCACATTTTCACTCAAATTATAAACATCTGTTAAATGAACAAAGATATTGGGACTATTTGAGAATACAATTTAAAATACCTGATTCATCAAAAAGTGTCAGAAGATTACCACCTAGTATTTCCTAGCCACAAGTTCTGTCAGCTTTGGAAAAGATGAATACTTACTCTGAGATACTGGAGGGTGGATACACACAGGAACAAATAACTCTGATACACTTATTAGTTACTAGCCTGTTCTTCACTAAAACTGTACGTTAGTGCAACTTAATGTCTAAAAATGAAATATACAAAGATGAATTTAATGTTTGTAATGTAATGCAGAGTTGAAATTCCCTCTATTAGCCGTGACCAAAAACCAGACAGCTAAACATTTTTGATGCAATAAGGTATTTCCTTAATTTTCCCATATTTCCTTTTTTACCTAAGTTGAGGTACGGGGAGCCAAAAGACCAAGTCATAAAAAGCAAATTGTCATTATTCTATGAATAGTTACCTAAATTAATATTCTTAGAATAATTCTTAAGCAGCTTCAAGGAAGAAAAATATGGGTTTTCAGAAGTGTATTTTATAAACATAAATAAATGCTTCGAAAATGTAAGTTTTGTTTCTTCTTGGAAATTATTCTTTATAAATATGCCTTTGAAAAAGCCAAATTTATCAGAAACACTTCCTTTTCCATAGATTTTTCTTATAAAAATTGAATTGTTTTAATTTTAAAACAAGTGACTGTAGGTACTCATATTACAGTATGAAAGTATACTGTGTAGTAAGAGAGGGAAAAAGAAATGGTATAAAATGCTTTCCTCCGGTGATTAAACTGATTTTAAACTGTTCTTCCATGATAAAAATGATACAGCTGAGAACAATTTCTTCATGATGCACGCACCAAATATTATCTAGAAAATCGAGTACTTCTGGCAAACTGATAGCATAAAGAACTTGCTTTTAAATCTTGTGGAGTACAAATGCACACACAGAAAACCTGTCATGTCCCTCTTATCTACAAACTAAAAATGAAAATACAATGATTTTAAATCTTTAACTATCTGATTACATATTACGTAACTGGAGGCATTGATAAGGTGCTGGCAATGCAAATACTTTTAAACTAAAGTAGTTTAAATAGGTTTTTAAATTAAATCCACTCGTCTTTTACTAAAGTGTGATTTTTTTCCAACGTGAAAAACTATAATCCAACTCAGTAACATTATAAAAGATGCATATTTGGACAAACTGTGATGTTATAAGAATGTACTGTCAATAAAAGATGCTCAAATGTCAACTACTGCTTTAGTCAGAGGTACACAGAATGTATACTTGCATTTTATTGCAAAGTTTTGCAATATTAAGAGTGTTAAAAAACTAACTTGTGCCAAAAGTTTAGTAGGAAACCTGGAGTGAGGTGAGGGGGTCATAGATTTTTTTTTTAAGGAGAAAGAAATTGGCTAAAAAGGTAAGGAAAAGCCAAGGACAACTGCCCTGTGCAAAGTCCACCCTGATTCTCATACAGGAGCATTAACAGGAAGTATCTATAAAGGGGGCGTCACTGTTTGACCCACTTCAAGCACTGACCTCTCCGTAGTCTCATGCTGCATAAGCCTTGCAGGTCCATCTGGGGAAAAGACTATTACAGACAAGTATGTATACAATAATGTAAAGACAGAATGAGGAACGACCTTTCTTGCTCATGCAGACTGGGATTTTAGCGTAAAACGGCTCCAGGAGACTAAAACTTTACAAATAAATGGACTGGCCCGTAATTCTGTTATATGGGCCTTTCCTCCTTACACATGCACTCAGCATACATACTTTTAGTTTAACTGTCTACTCCACAGTTATTTAACTTTCTGCTTTTGCTCTAGATTTCATTTCCCCCCCTAGATTTTAGATGTTATAGTTTGCACACAAGTCAATCTTATTCTGATTTCACCTCTATATTATACCCTTTTAGAATAGTCAAAATGATCCACCCCTAGCTAACCATCTCTAAAAACCCTGACTGTCTCTAATTAATCTATGATTTTTCTCATTACTGCAGCAGTGCCATTTAAAAATGCTGGGTCTTACATTCTCAAATTCCCTTAATGGACAGCTAAAGAGGATGATACCAAAGGCTTGCACTGACCTCCAATTCTAGAGCTGTGGGCTGTTCCAGAAACACTTTTACACCGCTTTTCTGCAGAGTCCACCATTCTCAGAGCGTCTACTCCTACATGTGTAAAATGAACACATTTCTACTTGTAACACATGCCACAGTGGTGTTACACTCATTATTAAGGGCTACATCTTATACCATAATTCAAGTTGGCAGTTCACCTCTTATTTCCTCAAATCGACAGTATTGTTCCTAAAGTCAGAGGCTGTTTTCTTCGTGTCCTTTCACAACACTAGTCACAGTCCTTCTCACAAAGTACAAGCTCAATAAACGTTTGATTAATTGATGAACCTCTCTTCATTTCTCAGGGATTCTCTAAATAAGTTATCAACAAAAGTGTATGTTTAATTCCAGCCTTTGTCAGTACGGTCGTAGGCAAGACAACTGACAGTGTATCATGGATAAAATGAAGGGGTAGAGTGCTAAATGGCCTCTAAGTCCCTTCGAGCACCATTACTGCATCTCATTAGATAAAACCAAACCCCAAACACAGCACTATCTCTATTCAGGTCAGCATTAGACTTTTTTGGAGGAAAGGGATCAGTAAACCTTCTGGGCTCAATTACCACCAGTGGAGCTATGATGGGGCATGGGGGTAGAAAATAAATGAAAAGAAGAAAAAATAAACAAAGGTGAGTGGTAAGTGGAATCGCAAATATGTCACCAGGTATCACAACTGTTACTATGCCACACACTGCTCTCTGATATATTTTGGCATGCCCGGGAGCCTTTTAAAAAGCAGCTATAACCAGATGTGTTGGTACCTAAATTGTCCTATGCCACTCCCCCACTAGCCCTTCTAGTACCCTGCACATTTGTATTGACCTTCCAGAATAGGGCACACTTCCTGCATAGAAATCGGCAAAGCAGTCACTATTAGGTCTCATGCACTATAATAACAACTCTTGAGGTCCCCAAATCTCCACATGGAAAAAAGCCGGGTAAAGTAGACAGCTGACAAACATGAAATAATTGTATTTCACGCAGTACCTCTTCTGAAAATTAATCCATGGACCAAAAGGAGTGATGTTATAGGCCAGCACTGTCCAAGAGAAGTAAAATACAAGCAGTATTATATCATTTTAAATATTCTAGTAGCCACAGTTAAAAAAAAACCACGTGAACTTTAACAATATATTTAGTTTAACTTAATATAGCCAAAATATTATCATTTAAGTGTGTAATTAATATAAAAATTATTCATGAGATATTTTATTTTTTTGTACTGTCTTTTAAATCTGGAGTGTATGTCACACTTACAACTCATCTCAATTCAAACACTAAATTTCATCAGAAATACTTAATCTGTATATAGATGGTATAAAATTTAGTTTAAAAAGTATACGCATGTGCCCAAATTGTTTCTAAACATATTTAAGTTTTCCTATACCTGAATCAAGTAGCAATTTCAAGAATTAAATAAAATTTAAAATTCTGTTCCTCATCACTGTAGCCCAATTTCAAGGGTTTGATAGCGGCCTGTCTAGTGGCTACTGTTTTCATGCAAGTACAGACAGCCCTGCCTCTGTCACCTGGATTCTTTTAAACCTGAACTAGATTAAAAGATGGTACCCCTTCAACAGCAAGCCCTTCCACAGCACATGCCAGATGCTCAAGTTATGCCACTTATTTTCTGCCCGACGACTAATCCTCAAATTGTCAATACTTCAGTGATGGTCACTTATTAAGCAGTTCTTTCCAAAGACTGAACAACCCTTTTAGCTCAGAAAGGCACATCTCAATGCAGGGAAAAGAACGGAGACACTGTTTCAAAGATAGGGAGTTAATTTCCAAGGTAAAGGTGGAAAATCCTGACGTCCTTACTTTTGTGTCCAGGCTATCAATCACCCTGCCAAAGTTATGGCCATTGTTTATAATGAGCCTTTCAGTTTCCATACTCAAAGTAGCTGTCACTGTATCCTTGGACTCTCTGCCTTCCTCAAGCGCTCCCTATGAGCCTCTCTGCCACAACCTACTCCATCTCTAGCAGCAGACTCTGTAGCACCTTCCAGGAGCTGCTCTTTAATTCATTCTGAACTGTGCTTGTTATTGTTGATATACCGAAATATATGAATAATTCAATAAATAAATCTCGAATCATCCTATTAATCATTCATTGGTCTACATACCTAAGTTATCTTGAGAAAAGCTTTTCTGAATATACATGAAAAATATCCCCCCACCCTTCCCCAAGGAACTAATTACAAACACTACAGCTTTCTCTCCCTATGTCCAAGTTCCATGTTGCTCCTGGAGCTGATTTAAAAGTTGATCTTCTAAAGGAACTGGGTTCCTAAGGTAGTTCTATTTTGAGCCTTCTTCCTGTTCTGAAGCTAAAGTTGGAAGGGCTTAGGGGGTGAGGTCATGGAAGGGAGACTGCTGGCTTTTACAGAAGGGTCTTCTCCAGCAACTGTGGGGATGCTCAGGTGGTGGGAACTACAGGGAATATTCACTTCTCACCTCTTTCTCCTCCTTTCCTTTCAAGTCCTAGCTATTCATAAGCCAGCAAGAAAACAAGTTCAAATAAACATGCACACATATTTATGTTTTACTCTTTAAGCATCGCAGAAATGAAGAGACTGGAGAGAAAAAGGCCTCACTCAAGGTAAGAAGGGTGACAACGACTTTCTCCACCTCCTCCAATATCTGTCATAGGATTAGGGGCAAAGGGGGTAGGAGGGACAGTTGGTAAGAAGAATAAAGGGATTCTAAATCTAGCAGGCCTGAAAAGGTAAATGTTGGGGATATTCAGGACCGATAGGAGGCCCTTGGGTCTCCTCTTCCACTGTTTTGTCCTCCTTTTTGGATGGTTAGATTTGGGGCTGGGTGTGCCTTTTGCTTTGGGAGGAGGCGTGTTTGGCTCTGGAGAACGAAGAGGGGCCAGGGTGGGGCCCAGGGAAAGAGCGCCAGAGACTGCTTAGGCCCGATTCTGGGATAAGCTCTTAGGGGAAGAATGTTGGGGGCTGTAGGAGGGCAGCTGAAGACCCAGTGGGGAATAAATAACGGCACTGGGCCAAGGGGGTCACCTCTGTCTTTCTATTTAAACCTCGCAGTTAAGTTGCTGGTTGGTGGAATGCAGGTCCAGAGGGAAGAGAAAAATCCCAGCACATCTGTAGGCCACAGCTTGCCAGGCTGGAGGGGATGGACGTGCCCAGTGCAATCCAGCAGGTGAAAGTGCCCTTTCTGGCTGACTCTGGTATGGGGGATTAGCCAAGAGCTTTGGGGAACAGAGAATTCCCTGGTTTCTCGGCTCACCTCTCCTCCAAACCGGGAATAAGCACAGGTGTGGTCCCTCTCCAAAAGGGTGGCTGCTGGCGTGCGGGAAGCTGAGTGAGGGAGAGGATTCCTTGGCCCGGGAAAGCGGGGAGAAGCCCTGGGGTCAGCTAAGGTCAGGAACAGGAGGTGTCCGCCAAGTCCCCTCCCCCTCTTGAAAACCGACCTGGACCGGCATACATTTCAGCTATGCACCCCCATCCCCAATAATGTTACTAATAAAAGAAACAGCCTCTCTCTCAAGCTTACAAAAAAACCCCCACAAAACCTCTGCGGGACATGGTTGATGAAAATAAACAGGTGAGCCCGGAGAGAAGCGGGAAAAGATTGGGGATGGGAGAATAAACGTGCAGAGAAATCGAGGCTTCCCCGCCCTCCCTACACACACCCTCTCCCCTCTAGCCCAGGAGAATCTGCGTGGCAGGTTGCAACCTAAAAATGCCACTCTGACCGACCACCATCTCCCAGCCCCGTGCCAATCCGCCCTCCTACCCCAGGGTCCAGCGTTCTGGCCTCGTGGAAGCGCCCTGTCCCCGGACGCCGAGCGGGGTTCACCCTTACCCCTGACCGCCGCCGCCGCCGCCGCGGGGACTCCGGTCTTCCTCTCTCCTCCCTCCCTCCTCCTCCTCCGCCTCCTCCTCGCAGACTCCTCCCGCCGGATCCTTCATGTAAACAACATCCAGGCTCTATTTACAGTCGCCGCCGGACCGCGAGGGACCCACGCCAGCACCCTGAGAGAAGGCGGAGGTGGGGGAAAAGCGAGTGCGCAACATTTATACACACACCCCGCCCCGCCCCTCCGCGCCGCTGCCCCTCCAGGGGGCCGAAGCGGGGCGCCGAGGGGCCACCCGCGCCCACGTCCACCCTGTGCGGCTCCTGACAACCCAGCGCGTGCCAAGGGGAAACCGCGGAAATGCCGGTGGGCGAGGTCGGCGCCCCCCCCCGCCCGCCCGTACACCGCAGGAAGAAAAACACACCCCAACAACAACAAACCCAGCAACACGCTCCAAGTCCGTGCAGGAGTGCGGAGCCCCCCACCCGCCCCGCGCCGCTGCCCCGGCGCCCCTCTGCTTACCCCGAGGTGGCCAGCTGCGTGCGGTCCCCCCAGGCGGCGGAAAGCAGGCAGGCGCCCAGCGCCCGGTACTGGCGCGCCCTCGGCCCTCGTCGCCGCCCGGCCCGGCCCGCCCCGCCCTCGGCCCGCCCCCCGCGCGGGCCCCGAACCGGCCGAGCCTCGCGGCTGCGTGTGCGTATGCGTGTGCGCGCGCCGCGGCCAGCCTTGCCGAATGGCTCGCTTCGCCCCCACGGCTTCCCGCGCCCCGGGGCGGGCTCCGGCGCCCACGGCCAGCGTTCCACGGCGGCTCACGGGCGCGCACACAGACGTAGACACTCGGAAGCACGGAGCCCCGCGGCCGCACGCCTCCCGCAGGCGCCCGACCCCGCACGCGCCACCCCCCCCTCACCCCCGCCCGGCCCGCTACCCCTACACCCACCTGCGCCCCCAGGGGTCCCGAGCCCCCCTTCCTTTGTTCTTCCCGCTATTTGCATGAGGATTATCTAATGACGCAGCAAGGCTCGCCACAACGTGACCGTCGCCATTTTTCTGTTTTTATTCTATCTGCCATGTGATAGATTAGGGAGGGGGGGAGCCGGTTAGGAAAGGGAGAGAGACAGGATTAAAAAAAAAAAAACTTCCGGGTCTCATGACTGGGAAGGGAGAAAAACAAAAGGGAGACGAGGCACAAGTCCAGGGAAAGGATGCGTGTGTGCGCGGTCTGTGTGCGCGCGCGCGTTCACGCACCCTCCCCTGTGTAGGGAGGCTGCCGCAGCAGACAGCATCTTGCAAAGGAGCCTTGGTGGGTCCAGACCTCACCCGCTAAGCCATGGCGGTCGCCTGTCCCGGTCCCACGCCCGCCGCAAACGCTCCGCAAAGCTGTCAGCTTGGTCCCTTCTAGCCGCCACGAATTGCTCGCGCTCTAGCTCCCGGGCGGGTGTACCGTTCTGGGTTATGTTCAGAGAACTCTCTTCCAAAAGGGAAAAAATGATCAAGTTTAAAGGCTACCGTATTTCCTAAGTTTTAAAATAGTTTGCTTCGATGCTGTTGTTTATGATACCCGCGTGGCAACGCCAGGCAGCATCTAATATTGGTTTGAATCCTTCGTCTCGTTATCCGCTTTCCTCTCATTTCCCGAAGCGGGATACACCCTTGTGTGGTGGAGGTCCATGGGGGTTTGTTATGTGGAAATGGACCGTTCATTAAGGGTTGATTTATTTTGGAAGAAATTTTTAATAAACAGTTGTTTAGGGTCAGGGAGCATTGTTTAAGAAGACAGTCGCATGGAGCAAGGTGGATTCGTGTTACGCTGATCTTATTCGCATTCAGAGGGCGTGATAGACATTTCATTCTTTCTCAAGTCTCGTGTTCACGGTTGCTGGGAAAAAAAAGTATTTGGGAACTCTGCCACGTTTTCCTGTGAGATAAAATTTTGTACTTTTGTTTACTACTGTATTTCCTCTGGGCACTTTCACTTTTGTTTCTCTTGAGTTTCCTTTCTGTTTTTTTTTTGTCTCTATTTCATAATTCAGAGCAGAAATGGACTTTAGAGCTAACCAGAGTTCCTCGCTTTACAGGCAAGGAGACGGAGGCCCTGAGGAGTAATGAGAGTTACTTCAGATCACACATTTATTTAGAGTGGAGTCCGGATCAAGACCTGCTCACCTATCTCTATTAGAGTGGGGGGGATGGGCATGGAGGGGGAATTGCTTAGTAATGTATGGCAGCAATTCTGTTTTGTAAAATTAGTATCCTAGAAATTAAAATAGAAAACGCTTACCAGATCATTCCCTTTTAGGACCGGTCGGTGTAAATTGAGATTTGACTCAACGATATCTGTTAATTCAGATTCCACTTCACCTTTTCCTGGGAGAGTTTGTCATCTTACTAAACAGCTGTACATGACTGTTATGAATTGGGTGTTTTTTTTTTTTTTAAGAATCCCAGAGTTGACCACTCCCCCTTTGTGCACCCACTGTGGCATTTGAATATTATTTCCTGGTGACTTTCACACTTCAGTGTGCAGAACAGTTGATGTATCTCACTGAAGCAGAGGGTCATGCCATGGTCATTTTGTATCTCCCATGCTTAGCACCCTCCCTGGCAATGAATGAACGAATGAAGGCCTCACAAGGATTTTTTCCCTAAATTCCATCCTGACCATCTCTAGGAAACTCCTTCCATGTTTCTGAGGAAGGCAGAACACTGAAGTTGCTTTTTGGTTCTTACACCTTTACAGACCATGTTTGGCAGGCTTCTAATTTACAGAGCCAAGCAAAACATAATTTGCTTTCTCAGTGTTTTTAAACCAAGTGTTTTCCCTCTCCCTATTTTTTTTTTTACCATGTTTGGTTGCTCGTTTTCAAATTTTTTTCTAATTCATATATATAAATAGTTATGTCAAAGCTTGCCCTTTGACTTTTGACATAGATTTCAAAAGGTTGGTGAAGTGAAGCTGTGATTTGATCCTGCTTACCCTGGAATCAAATGATCAGAGGCAGCATTCTTAATGAGACCTGGACTCCAGTGAACTTCGTGAGGAGGCTGGCAGTTGAGCAGGCTGAGGAGGGCTGCTGAAAAGATGTCAGCATCTGGACAAAACGCGCACATTTGCAACTTTAAAAGACTGGAGCATAACTGATGTATGCAATTATATTTACAGCTCAGAGGAGGATCTGGATTGTTCCAGATGAGTTCATATACATCCAGACTGATGAGGTTCCATTGCATATCCGAACACGGACTGCACGTATTCCTTTGAATGACACAGATGAAGTTGGTATTACTGATCATAACATCCACAGTCCATATGTTTTATCCCAGCTAATAACAGTGTGATAATAATGCTAAGTATAACAATATCATCTTCAATCAAGGTGGAGATGAAACCTAATTATATGTAAAGTCATGTGCTCCCTTGAATACAATGCTGAACAGAGAAAAAAGGAACACTGCTCAAAAATGTAGGCGATAGCTCCATAGCTCTTGTCTTCCACATATGTGCCCTCACACATCATTACAAAGAAGATCAAACTTTCATCCTCTGGGGTACCACATAGCTGCTGATTAGAGAGAGCTGTTACAGGCACTTCAACCATCTTTTTCATCTCTCTAACACACACTTGAAAAATGACAATTCCTGGTGTGTGAAAGCATGGACTTTGGAATCAGGTCCAAATCTCAGCTCCGCCAGTCCCTTAGCTGTGTCATCCTGGGCAAGTTATACATCAGTTCTGATTCTCAGTTTCTTAACTCATAAAATGAACATAGAGTACCTGGCTCCAAAAGGAGTGTTTAGGATTGAAATTTAAAAAATATATGTAAAGACCTAGCATGATACTTGGGATATAATCTTTACTAATGAGTGGCTATAATAATATTCATTGTAGTTTTATTTACCTTATGCATTTCCTATAATTATTCTATCCCTTTAGGCTTCCTGCTCTCAAACATTCAACAAACCTAGTGTCAGTGAAAGTTCTGTGACAATGAAGAGAAATGAGAAGTTCGCACTTCAGCCTTGGAGAAGACACATATACAAGTTACTATCCTGATACTGGTGGGCTGCAGACAAGCACTTGCTTCATACAACTTTCTGATGACCTACCTGAAAAGTATTTCATTAAGATCTAGATTTATTTATACCCAGGCAATGGCAAAGCTTATGGAGGTAGTTAGGAAAGTGCCCATGAAAAGCCCACAAACAAACAAACAAGAAAAAAAAAACAGAAAAAAAACCCGACCCTCACATTTTCACATAAATGAAGAAAATTACCTTTAAAAGTACATCTGGTCTGCTTTTAAAAACAGTTTTCTGGTCCAGTATAAGAGTAAAAAATATGCCAGGTTGTACTTTGAAGGAATGTTGGAGAAATATAGTTAATAGGAAGACCTGGTTGTTAATTAATTAGACCACTTTAATCAAGAACTACTTTCTGAGAAACTTATTCCCAGCCCAGGTCAGGTGCTAAAGAAACAAATATCAAGAAGACATAGACTTTGCCCTTAAGGAACTCAGTCAACAAGTGTTTATTGATTACCTACTGGGGATGCGATGGTGAGCAAGACATGGAACTTACTCCTAGGAGATTGATATACACACATATCTTTCCAGCTTCCTCAAGAAGTGCGTGCCTATTAGTGCTGGATCTGGAGCTCCTCTGACAGGTGCGCAGCCTCAAGCCTCCCGGGAATAGCCCTGAGAACATGTGAACGGAACACATTTTCAGCTCTTTCCCTGCTCATCTCTGTTCCTGTTTTGATAATTTTGTGTGGGAGGAAATACAAATAAAGTGAAGTTTACTGGCTTTTCCTGCTCCAAAAAAAAAAAGTGACTGAAACAAGGTTTGAGAAAGACAAAAGTGTGTGTGTGTATCCCCCTCCACCCTGAAGGGTTTTTTTGTTCCTCGAAACAAAAGAGCAGCTCTTGAAAGAATAGTTTTGTCTCTACTGCCCAAGTGAACCTGGGAATCTGGATGGCATTAGGCAGCATTGTGAAGCGAGCAAAATTGTTATATATTCAGCTCTCCTCCAGTTTGGGCTATTTAGATAGCTTTCTGGTCTATCAGTTCCTGTCTTTTTGAACGGTCGTTCACCAAAGGACTACTACAATAATGATTCTAAAATGCAAACCCTGCTTAAAAACTTCGACAGCTTCTCATTATAAGCCAAGTATGGCACACAAGACCCTTTGCAGCCTTGCCCTGCCAAACCTTCCAGCCTCATCCTTCATAAGCTCCACATGTAGGGTTCACCAGATTTAGTAAATAAAAATACAGGATGCCCAATTGAATTTAAAATTTCAATAAACAACAATGTTTTTTAGTCTAAGTATGTCCCAAATATTGTATGTGACATACTTATACTAAAATGTATTCATTGTTTATCTGTTATCCAAACGTAAGTAAGAATCCTGTATTTTATCTGGCAATCTTTCTCAGGCCAGTCTTATTAACTTGCCATTCCCCACTAGTCTTTTCATGCCTTTGTAAGTACTTGATAACCTCTCCACCCTGCTCCTTATCCACCTAATACTCACTCCTCTGCTGCTCCTTCAAAAGCCTGTCATGGGACTCCAGAACTCTGCAGGTACGAGTTTGGAATCCATGTCCTGTAGATGGGCCTGGCCACCCGTGGGCTCTATTTAATAACTAGGCTTTGTCCCCAGTTTCTGTCCATCCTTTCCATTCTCCTGTAAATGGAGTTCTGCCCTGAACCCCAGTTTACTTGGCTGGGACCCACACATGGTTTTTCACCCTTGCCAACTCTCCCCCTGGGGCTCTGGAGCTAGCTAGATTCTTCTTCCCGGCTGCTGGCTGGGCTCCTGACCTAACTGGATGGATCATTGAAACCTGCCTCAGAGGTGCCACCTTCCTGCCTGGCCCATTACAAAGCATGGATAAGAGACTCAAATGAGATCGAGTTTGTAAAAGTAGTTTGTAAGTCAAGCCTTTCCGATAATAACTTAGTTTAGAGACTGAATTGTAAGCTCTTCACTTAGTCTTGTTTATGGAAGTCCCTCTCTGGATTTCCCTTGTTTCTGCTCATGTCTAGTGATATAAAATGATGTGGAAATTTTCCAAATGTCCTCTAATTTTGAATAATGCATTCAGCCATACTGGCTATTGCACTATGGATGGATCTAAACCAATGGCTTAATTTTTAAAATTTTAATTTCATGACCCAGGACATGCCTCTTCATAACTAAAATCAAAGTCTCACAAATTATGTCAACCCTGAGTCTGTGTAATAACCTCTGATATTTTCTCTTCTAGTTCATCTTTTAAAAATGTGTCAACCCACCAAATTAATTTCATAACCCACTAATGGGTTGTGACTTGCATTTTGCTAAGTAAGCACTGATCTGGACTATTTTTCCTGAGATCTCTTGTATTAACCATCTGACCAGGACAATTGGCAACTGTCTCCCTTGTTTGGTGCTGTCTCCGGTAGGACCCACCTTGCTCACAAAAGTTGTTGAGGCCACCTCAGTGAGTTAAGTCACAGTTGTCCCTGCTGATAAGAAGAGCATTGCAGCCAGACTTCCTAAGCTGCCTGAGGTTAATATGTAAAAATTCCTGACATGGCCATTTATGAAGAAGGATAGCTGCAGAATTACCACAAATGGCAACTGTATTCATCTTAGAATAGGGATATTGCTTGGAGGCAATTCTTTCTCAGACTTTTAACATTATTCCTGGTTGAGTTAAAGAGACTTTTAGATTTCTGAGGTTTCACACTGATTTCAGAGATAAAACATAAATGAAAGCGTTCTCACTCACTGTTACGGTTTTGTTTTACTCTCTTTTCCCCTAGATGGTGCACAGCTAATCTAATATTCAGACTGCTTTAAGAAGATGGGCAACAGTAGATTCCAGAGAAAATAAGGAAAATATAAGGAAAGGATGTATGGTCCAAATGGAGGGAAAGAAGATAAATTATCCAAGCAATTCGTATGATTCAGGTAGTCAAGCCAGCTGCTAGAATTCAGCGTCCCCCACATACACACACCTTTTCTTTCACTCAGGGCTGCTTCATTTATTTTCCTTTAGGGTAGGGTTTTAGTTTTGTTTGTCATGTTGGCCTTGAAAAGACCAGTTTCAGATTAGTCATGGCGCAAAAGCTAGATTGGAGAGAATTTGAGAGAGAACAGGAGAGGAGGAATTAGAGGCAGATAGTAGACAACTGTTTGGCTACAAAGGGTTACAGAAAATTAAGATGGTGACCAAATGAGGGAAATAAAGTCAAAGGGAGAATTTTGCTTGTTTGTCTTTGAAGTGCTTGAAGTGATGTGTTCGTATCCTAATGGAAATGATCCAGTAGAGGAAACATTCACGATGTAGGGTAGAGAGGGAGGATTGGCTGGTCTTGTGTCTTTGGGTCTGCAAGGGGGTGGGATCTAATGCACAAGGAGGAATTTTCACATAGGAGCACTGAAAGTGCAGCCTTGACTGACAGAAGGTAAAGCAGTGTCTGAGGGGCACACCTGTATGGATATGTAGATGTGGTAAGAGCAACTGGAAGTTCTCTTCTGGTTCTTTAGTTTCCTCACCGAGGAAAGAAGTACCATCACCAGCTGCGAGTGAGATGAGAGGAATAGGTGTGAAGCAGTCCTTCAGCAGAAAGTGAATGGAGGAATGTAGAATGTAAGAAAGTGAATGGATCAGGGAGACAGAGAATGTTAGCTGGGAAACAATAAGGGCTTATTTAGGTACCTGGTGACAGGTGTAAAGTGAGACCAGTGTAGGTGGAAAGTTGGATTTAACTAAGGTGATCAAGGGAGTTCACTGTAAGCGCTTACATTTACTGATCCTGAATTTTTAGCTGAGTAAGCAGAGACTAGAAGGCCTTGAAGGGCGAGGAACAGTAAAAACAAACAAAAAAATTGGTGCCTAGAATGTTCCTCTCTCTGTTCTTTGCATGACTGGCTCCCTCTTCTGGTTCAGTCATTCTCTGATATCACACTTTTAACTCTCTTGAGTACTTAAGGTGTTTTCTTATTACTTTCTTTTATCTATCTATCTATCATCTATCTATCTATCTATCTATCATCTATCTATCTATCATCTGTCATCTACATTCAACCATATATCCATCCATCCACCATCTGTTTCACACTACTAGAATATAAGCTCCACAAGAGCAAGAACCTTGACATAATATTCATTAGCCACAGCACTTATTTGGCACAGGAACAACCAGAAAAATATATTTGCTAGAAGAATGATGAATGACTGGGGTATGATGTTAAGGTCTTCACCATCCTGATCATCCTCTTCTATATATGACCCTGTTTGTGGATTTTCTTCTTCTAACCTCCACCCAGAGGAAGAAGATCCCTCCCCCAAGGTTAGAGCTGCTGGCTAAACCATCCACTTCAGGTCTCCTCTGAGGGTGAGGAGAGGAGAGCGCAAGGAGAGTTTTACCACTGAGTTATGCTGGCACCAGGTTTCAAAGGTGAGCCCCAAAGGGTGCCATGAAGACGCAAGAGCTTTCTGTTTTGTTTTGTTTAAAATATCTTTATTGAGGTTAATTTGCATACCATCAGATTCACCCATTTTAAGTGTAAACTTCGTTGAATTGTGGTGAGTTTGTACCATTATACAATCATTAACATAATTCAGTTTTAGAACACTTTCATTGCTACAAAATGTTCCCTGGTGCCTGTTTGCAATCCATCTCTGTTCCCACCCCCAGCCCTAGGCAACCACTGATCTTTCCGTCTCTATAGTTTTGTCTTTTGTAGAATGTCTATATGGATGGGATCATACAATATGTAGTCTTTTGTGTCAGCCTCCTTTCATTTAGTATAATGCTTTTATGGTGAGTAATATTCTACTCTATAGATATACAGCATTTTGTTTATTGATTCACAGTTGATAGACACTGTTTTCAATTTGTGGGCTATTATGAATAATACTATTATAAATATTTGTATACAAGTCTTTGTGTAGATGGACAGTTCTCTTGGGTAGATACTTAGGGGTTTGATTGCTAAGTCAATTGATAAGTGTATGTTTCACTTTTCTAAAAGTGCCAAAGAATTTTCCAAAGTGGCTGTCCCATTTTTCATTTCCATTTACAACGTATGTGTTTCTCCATGTCCTCACCAACATTTAGTTTTTTTGTTTTAGCCATTCTAGTAGGTGTGTAGTGGTATCTCATTTTGGTTTTGATTTGCATTTCTCTGATAACTAATGATATTAAGCATCTTTTCATGTTTTTATTTGCCATTTATATATCTTCTTTGATGCAGTGATTATTCAACTATAGAGTTATTTATCATATTGTTGAATTATAAAATTGTTTTATATATTTTGGATTCAAGTCCTTTATCTGATATATGT